CTAGCGAACTGACTGCGGAACAATTCGAAAATGTCGCTTGTTATTTATTATGTGCCAAATGTATTAAAAATAATAGAGATATTTCCAGAAAGTTTAAGGAATTTGGAAGGACATTCACAATATTGATAAGACGTAGAGATTTAGCTGAATATGATTTAGATACGTAGGAAGACCTTCAGATACTGCAATCCTTAAAATAAAACGAATGTCGCGACGAATAAAAAGTTATTTATTATTCATGAATAGGTCTGCCCATTTGGTGATTTTTTAATCGAATAACTTTCCCAATAACTTTTCGAATAACTTTTTCAATTGTACTCAAACTGATTGGAATAACTTTTTATTTGAATAATGTTCAACTGTGCATCGAACAACGAATAAAATGTTTATTCACGATGAACTTATCAAAACCCCACGGCTTTACTGATTTAGACAATTATTGGACATGTAGAAAACGGTATGTTTAAACAACTTTTTCCTATGCATATAAGTGGCGATCATGATAAAGTTTTCGAAATATTTGCTAATAACTCTCACATTTAATAGTGCTACAATGAATTGTGCATCGATAATAATAAAATATTGTTATCCAGCTGTTTTAGAGCGGCCATAAAACAAAATATAGACAAACACGGACATGATTCTTACCGTATGTCACTGTTTATTCTCTTCTACACGTGTTCAGGAAAATTAGTTCGCTTACTAACAATTAGATAACGGAGAATGCAATGAGTGAATAAGTATTTTTTTATTTTATAACTTACAAAAATCTTGTAATTTTGATAAAAAGCCATCTGACATATACTGTCACGTCGACACGTGGCATCCCCACAACGTTTGGTACAGTACGTTTTATTTACCGCTATATGTAATGAATATTTAATAATGAATATTCTTTACCTTCATCAACATAGACCTATTATACATTTGTAGCCAGTCTAACACATTTTTCCAATTCGTGTTGGTGAAGTTTTTATACGCCTGAGAAGATATTTGATAAGTATGACACTGTCTCGAAGAAACGTATAGCTTACATTTTCATAACTTTAATTATTTCACTGGAATGGTCTCTCTTCTATATGAAATCAATTTACGTGTTTTTGACGTTTTTCGTGTTCTTTTATTAACTAATTTCTAATTTCACATATTCAGTTGCAACAACGTTGATTCTACGTGCGAAAGAACCGTAATGTCTCAAATAGTACACAAACAGAATACGACCAAAAACTATTAAGACATTAGTTTACCGTATGCTCGCATTGCCGTAGCTTGACAATAATCGCTCCCATACACATTTCTTTTATCTTGACGATTGACGTTGTAGGGATTACTCGTGGTGAATCAGAACTTCTCGTAATTTGCACGTAGTGTGCCGACTAAACTTTATCCCTGTATTCAAAGGACAACCTTCCCTTAACTGGGAAGGACTAAGTAGTATAAGAGTTGATTTCGATACGACATTATACCTTATTCGTTGTGCACGGCGAGCTGCTGCGTGTCGCTACAAGGTAACTATTCTAGATGTTTCTATGTTGACAATCGCAACGAGTCTGCCGGAAAAACCTGGCAAAACAAAAAAGCTGGACCTTTCCTTCCCCTTACAGTTTTTGCATAGAGGGGGTGTTGTTTAGGAAAGGAGGAACTGGGCTAATGTGATTACAACTAACGGGTGAGTCCCAAGGATACAACGGTATGTGTCGAATTTCGGTGTCTGGCCCGCGACTAGAAAACTCCCGTGCCCTGGCACGAATCAGATGCACCTACAGACGTTTAAGGAGATTGGATTAAGAAGTAATAAACGTAATTACGAACTCAAAATTGTGGGTATGAATTTCGTGGGTCAACTCTGCGTGCGGATGATTTTGGAAAACTAGAGAGTCTGCGGAAGTACGAAAGAAGAGTACTTGGAACTATATAAGTAATAGGACTGCAAGACTGATTGTGAAATGTGAAACGCAGCGTGTATTTACTTACGTGATCGCATGAACCTTGACTATAAATGGAAAGGTCAGACTACAAGAGAGAAGAGTGTACGTGAAAGAAAAAGAGAGCGAATGGGGATGAGTGTCAAAAGCTAATGGAAATGCAACAGCGATTGTCACAACTGTAGTCAGAAAGCGAGCGTTTATTGTACGACAGCGTGATAGCGAATCTTATTGGTATAGTTTACTTTATTGGTTTTACTTAAGAATTAACAACCACAAACAGTCGATTAACAAGTTTCCGAGCCCGTTAACCTTTTTATCAGGTATCTAACCCTGTTTTCGATCTTTGTCACAATAAACATCCTGCAAAATTTTATACAAATTGTAAGAAGGCAGGTCTGAACGTGGTGTAGAGGTGGACAAGTGTGAACGTAATGTGAAGATGTGCAAGTGTGAACATAGAGTGAAGATGACTAATGACCACGACGTGCCGCATCGACGCTCCATAACGGCAAGAAGAGGAAATGTTGGAAAGGAAAATTTCGAGAAAGACCTGGAATGTAAAAGAATGTTCGAAAAAGTTCGTTTAAAATCAGTTTTCGATTCAAAAGTATTAAAAGATCGAGCGGCACGTCCATAGCATTAATCAATTGTGGAAGACCGATGTAACCGCGTCCTATTGTATTAAAACTCTTACAAAATATGTGTTTATATTTTAGGAACATATAACAAAATTCTTATATAGACATTTTTTACACGAGCCAAATTATTGCATATTAATCGTTATATTTCGACCACAAAAAATGTCAACGGCGCCCAACAGTCAAGCTTACAGCTTTTTACTTGTTTCATCTCTTTTCTTTGAATAAAATTAAAGTTGATTATATACTTCTCACAATTTCGTCTTCTCAATATTTACAATGAATGAAGCTTAAAATCGCACAGCCTAAAATTAAAATAACTTACATATGAATGCAATGATATATCTTCTTTTTGTAGTTCATAATACTCAGACTGAGATTAAATAGCGATTTATAACGTGGTTTTTACTCTCTATACACGCATGGAAACCTTTTGTCTAAAAAATTGAAAGATATTCATTTTTACTTCATAATCAAACAATTGTTTGTTTCAATCGAAATTATTGAGATTTCGACCTATGTTCACTAATTGTAAGGTTTTTTTACTCAGTATACATACTGTGCCCTATATAAATACCCAGACACTTAATACCGGTGTGATTTTGACACCGGTATTAGGCTTAGAAGTTTAAACCCAAATAATATTAATACTGACATAAGACCGAGAAAGCTATACCGAAACCGAAATAAATATCGATATTTTTCCGATCTTTCTGGAAAAGCGCAGCCAAAAGAAAACAGACAGGAACGTGCACATTCTTCGTATCCGCTAATTTCATACAACCATGCTACAGCACGTATGTATCTGCTACAATAGCACATCTACTCAATTTTCACTGCACTTGACCGTAGAATATAAGCATATTACACATTAAATAATTTCCAGAACTTATTGAACGTTTACATCTCTTTTCATAAAGACTGTTATCATTATACTGTTTATTCCAGATTATAATAATCTCTCTATAATAGAGAGATTAAACAATCCAACTTAACGGCCTTAACGACTATACCGTTTCGATGCCGTAATGTCGAGATGATAATGTGTTTTAAAGTTATTATCGCATTACGTATTAACTAATGGATGTGTACTAAAACCTAGCCCTGCGGCTATATCAATCAGTAATTCGTATTATAAGATAAAAAAGCGTTTCCGCTTAGTTGAGACACCCCGTAAATATTTCGATGTTCCATAATCGAAGGTATGGTAGTTAAGATCATTTTTTTTTAATCTCTGCAGAAATATGGAAGAAATAATATAGGAATAAAATTTGTCCCTGAATAATATAACTTCGCCTTAAAAAAATTTGTTTACCAAAAAATAATGAAGATACTTAGATGTTCCTATTTAAGCGAGACACTTTTACTCACAACGCTCGGCTTTCGGACGCATTGTCATTATTGGCGCACGCCGAGGCTCCTTGCCCCTCTTCACTTTTGAACCAACGGTCGGCTTGGCTAACGTGGGACTATAGTCATTCAGATTATAGTCATTTTTGTGGTTATAATGGCTATAATTTTGTGATTGTCTTTTTATGTCCTCTATCCACTCCCGAAGTGGGTTTCACATGTTACGATTGCCTTCAATATACCTTTCATATCAAATGTTAAGAGAAGTATTGCAATATTTATTCATAACATGAATAAAAAAAAATATTTGCTTTAACAGGTATTGCGCCAATGAAATGGAGTAGACATAAAGCACATTAAATACTGAATTTAAACACCTTAGAGATTAATAATAATCAATAATCTATAATAATATTATTTTATAATAATATGTGCTGGTGGCAAACAACGGTTTGAAACAATTGAAGATGTATTAGATTAAGTGTAGAGATGGTGTATGAAGTAATATGGACAGTCAACATGCTGATTTTTATAACAACGTAACAAATATGGCCAATGTTCTTATTTTTTTCCGTTTCACCATGATCCTATTCGCCTTGGTCTATCCTACAGTTGCGCGTGTACTTCATTCGTGGAAATTTCATCCTTATCAGTTATTATTAATATACATACCAAAATTCCATCAACTGGATTTTGTAAAATGGTATATTTGTACAAACCATGCTGTGGACTGATAAAGTTACATTTACAAATCACGGAGAAGTAAACCTAAAAAAATGCACTATAGAATAAAAAAGAATCCTCAATAATGTCGGAAAATCGGTTATCAATGCTGATGAAACCTAAACGTTTGGGCAGCATAATTAGTCACCAAATCATTAACACTAGAACTACCGTACCAGTCAAAATGACTGGTTTTGATCTTTCTGTTTCGCAATTATTAATATCTTAAAAGCATTCAATAATTGAAATGATCTTGAAAATGAATAGTTTCATTTGAATACTATAATGAATGTCTAAAAAAAACTGACAATAATCTTTTGTTACAATTTTTATACGGATTACATATTAATCGTATTAAATGCTCGGTAGTTCTAGTGTTAAACCATACTTCATAAATGAATGTGTACCGAGTCAAAGACATTTCACTTTTCTAATCGAATACTAGTGCATGCGTCACAATAACCGCAGCAATACTTGAAAAAATACATTGTTCATTCATCATTTGATTAAACAAATATATTGATACCAATGGACAACAGTGAACATTGATTAAATTAAAACGTATTTCGACAATATCTCAGTAAATGTTAATTTTATATTGTATCTTGTCTAGTAATTTTTACCCAGAATTTCAGGCTCTATTCGAATTAAAAAAGATATAGATTAGATATTCTATTTAAAAAAAAACTGTACTACATTACTGTAGTACTACAGTACTGTCACATAGAACAGTATGTTGCCTTAGAAACCATACAACTTTTGTTTGAAACAGTTATTTCTGTACTGAATAACGAGTTATTTCAGGTCGTCATATTAAACTAAAACATTTTTTATTACATGTTGGTGTGTATATTAAATGAAATTATGTAGCAATGTGATATTTACATACAGTTGTACAAATTTCTTAATGTTCATTCAAATATAAAAATAAAAGTTCCATTAAATGTGCAATAGTACATTTTAAGTATTATTACAATAGTTGGTTTAATTTAAGCTTTCCGCGATTATCTCAGAAATTGAAACGGAGCAGGCTTTTTATCAGAGAAAAAAGTTGTTAAAAATATCGAATTGTATAACATTTATCAACTTTAGGAAAATCGGTTTTACGGTCAGCTTTCTACAGTATTACCAAAAGTTTTTTATTAATATCTCAAAAGCTGATAAGTGCCCACAGTTGAAAATTCTCCTCCTGCCCTATAAATCCTCCAAATTTCGTCTTTTCGTTGGTTGGTCCACACCGTACTATATCTGAAATTTAATACAAATTATTTATAATCTGCATCTATAAATAGTTTTCTTACCACTACTTTACAGATCTACACTCCATTAATTTCCATCGATCGTCAGATAAGCGAGAAAGAGGAGATTGTACACAAACGATCCAAAACATCTGAAAAAGTGAAAACATAGCAGTATTTATTAAGTACTCCTAAATTGTAATAAGATGTTCAGAAGTTGTTAAAATTTGTTTTGGAAATGTATCGTCAAACGATAAAGTACTTTACAATTTTATTCAAAACCAGAAAAATTTTACTTAAAATATACATGTATGTACATACATAGTTTCAAGAATTTAATTTCCTCAGAAATGTTATTTTTATATTATCATTATTTATTAGCTCTTTGACGACCGCACTTCAAGCGACTACACCGGAGCCACTTTTGACTCAATGCTATCGCTTGAGACACACCCCCTACCACTCAATAACGCGAGTCACAAGTGACTCCGGTGCGGTCTTCGGAAGATTAAATACACTAAATGTTCCCGCGTTATTACAGATCCCTATATAAGTAGACTGTAGGTAAGTACATAGTACCTACTTATGTACTTACCTATTACCTCTCTACTATCACCAGTCGATGCAGCTTTTTATACTTCGTAAAAGAAGTGTTAACCTATTTATACCGTAAAGCTAATAGTTAGGACACATTTTAATATAAAGAATAAATCATCATTGTTTTACTAATATTAACATTATTTACAGAAAAATTTCAACTAAACCATCATTTAGATTGATATTTTTGAAATCGTGAAAATAATGATATAAAGATATGCCACTGCATATTCGCTTAACAATGTGCTTGTAATAAGATGATTGCCCTGCACACAATGCCTGCATCACGAAATGTCTTAAATAAAATTTTTCGAAATTTCCAAGCATGAAAGAAAGAATTACTACTAAACATAGAAAAATATCATTCAATGAATCACGATTTCAAAAATGTCATAATTTAATTGTTGAGTTTTGTCGAACCTTTCTGTAAATAACGTGAAAGTTAGTAAAAAAAATTACGCTCTATTCTTTAAATTAAAATATGTCCAAAACTATTATCTTTAGGAAATATGTGCATACGTACATATCTATTTAGTACGTTAATACTTTTTTATAAGGAATAAAAAGCTGCATTAACTAGTGCAAAAGAAAGTATAGTATTCTGTTGAAAAAACCAAAGTTGATTTTTACATTCAACTCTGTGGTGTCAAAATCAAGTAAAATGTCTTATACAATATAATTATCAAAAACATAATATAAACTTATTGACCATTTTATCTTGAATACATCATATTTCAATTTCATAAAAACCTATAGCATTAAGTATGTACGATAAACTGTAAAATTTAACGTGTACATAATAATTTTTATACATCGCTTTGATTTGACTTCTGAACGAGTTTTCCAACGACAAATTACGATATATCGAAAATATTGAATCGAATTCGTTGAAGTCGATGATCTCTACAGTATCTACTTTTAATTTACACAAAAAGCATTATCACGAATGTAAAATTCGTATGATTAATACAAATTAACGTGTACTTTAAACGAAAGTGGTTTTGTTATTTGATATGGCCGAAGCTGACAATCCTCCAATTATTGTAAGCAATAAAACTTCTTTAACCACGTGCATTGGATTAGTACTTAACCTACATTTTCACCAGTTACAATATTCATTGTTATTTTGATTCTATAGAAAATTACTTTCTTATTAATTCTTAATTCTTATTGTATGTGTTAATTCTTATCAAACAGAAAAGTTTGATAAATACAGATGCATCATAATATTTGAATTGTCTTCTGTAATATATACTTTGTTGCCAAAATTACAACCAAATTGTGTAATATATTAAAATTAGAATATTGCTTTTTCCATGTAATCATTTAAATATAATTATCTATAGAAAAAATGTAATAAAATTATAACATTATTTTACAGTTATAAAAGTATATTAACAATAATATTTTTCATTTATAGGATATTCCAAATGTACATAAAAATGAACGTATCTGTGCTAGCTGGATAAATAGTAATAAAGTTAGTATATACAATACTAAAAATTTACATAACAAGGATTATAATAAGTATAGTTCTACTGTACATATTTTAAAACCAGAAGTAATTTTGTTTTCACCACAATTACGTAAACTTGTGAATGAAAGTAATGGTGTCTTTTTATCCATTCGAAAAATTAAATTATCTTCTGGTGATGTTAGACCAGAACTTTTAAAACACAGTAAACAATATAGATCAATCTTAAGAGCATGTATAGAAAGTTTACAAGATATATGTGGAAAGTCTTTGTCTGATAAAAGGGAATCACTTGAAAACTTTCTCACTATTTTTTATCAAATAGAATGCGTCTGGCATCTGACCGAAATTCTTTATATAGATGTAGTACCTGGTAAGATATTCCATCATATTTATGTATTTAAGAAATATGTGTTTCTTCTTTCAATATTTAATAAATTAATGTGTCATATTAATTTGTGACATTTTTTATTTAGGAGATGTAGTTTTACCACAATTGCTAGAATGGATTAAGTTTCATTTTCCATCCACAGAACGCATGGCAAATAAAATATTAACTCAAAAGGCAATTGGTGCTGACTTAAAGCATGCAAATTATTGGGAGACAGTTATACGTTGTACATTACATGGGAAGTTAGATTCAGTGCGGGCTCTTTTAGCATTACACAGTAAAGCAGATCATCCTGGTTTCATGATTGCAGAGAATATTCTTAAAACAATGCCTGTGTATAATGTGTATGGTGGTTATTCTGTAAATGAATTTACTATGCGTTGGAAACATTGGCAATTAGATTTGTGTTCAAATTTAAATAGCAAAGCTTTCAGTATTGACAGAGACTTAGAAATGATCATGAAGGTATTTATATTGTCAATATTTTTGAATAAATAATGAATTAATGTTAACAATTTTAATTTCTTTAAAAACATTCAATTTAGTTAATTGCAGGAGAACAAGAAGTATTGTGGCAGTTATCATCTTATACAGATGCTTGGTACGAATTGTTAGCAGCAAAATTATTTTACACATCCCCATGTTGCAAACAACCTGAACTTTCACATCATGCAAATAGTATTTCTAAAAAATGGCAAGCTAATAGACCATCTGATAATGCTATACGTGCTTTAATGGAAAGTAATCTACATCAAGTTGTTAAAGAAATACAATATATGGGTGATAATGGATGGTTTGCAACACATTTAGTGGATTTACTCTATACCTGCGGTAAACTTAAAGTTTTAGATAAAGATCAAATTGAGTAAGTAATTTAATAAATATTATAATTAATAATTAACGATAATTACAAAAAATAATATTAAAATACAACTGTGTCTCTGTATTAGGGTTACTAGCCAGCTTCACGAGTCTCTTATATTAGAATATGGTAATGCATTGATGGGTCATCATTCTTTGTGGCAGTGTGGTGGAAGTTACTTAATACATTGTCCCACTGAAGGTTTAGCAAGACTTGAGTTATTGATACAATCACTGCCAATGGGATCAGAAGCGAGAATAAACAAAATAATAGATATAGCACGTGATAATAAAATGGATCACGTTGGTTAGTCTTAATGTTTATGTTTACATTCTACAAAATATAACAGTGTTTTAAGAATACTTTCTTTTTAGTCACCAGTATATGCAAAATCCAAGGAATAAAATGCATAAAACATGGCAGACTTGGAAATGCACTTGCATGGGCATTAAAGGGACAAGATAGTGGTTTTGTAACATATATAGCTGATCAGTTTCTGAAACAGTATGCAGATACTGGTGAACTTGAATGCCGCGACATTTTAGAAAATTTAGGATTTTGTATGATGGCAAGTGATAGACTCACATTTTTAGGTAAGTTAAAAAATAGTATATAAGTTATGAAATACAATCATAGTATTTCTTTTATAAGATCATACTGTTTAATAGCTGATACAATACCTTAAACTAGAATTCATTCTTAGGAATTGAAGGTGAACAAATATATTTGACCAGTTAAAGTTCAATTCATTTTGTATAATAATTTCTTTTTGATTATCGTTCAAAAAAGAATCTGTGAAGTACAGATACCATCAAATAACATTGTGGTATACTTTTACCTACGGTTATCATTTTTTATTTTAAACCAAGGAAAACAATAAAACACACGTTTTCGATTTTCCTGCATTTATACGCCAACCTTCAATGTCAATTCACTGGTTCACAATATTTAATTTTTCTTTTGCCACAGAATGTTTAATGGGTGATCTTCATAGTATTTCTTTGCTGAATTCGAATATGCAATCCGTTCTTCTCCAACACCCATAGTTTTTGAAAAAACCGAAATCTTCAACTTTGAACATTTATTGTGTCTTAAATACGAATATATAATATAATAATTTTTCAAACTTTGCTTGTACAATATTTTCCATTCTCAAATGAAAATAAAATGTGTCTCGGAACTTGTTTCAACGAATTTCGTAAAGTAGATATCTGCTCTAACACATATTGGAATTAGACTTTCTTCTAGTCTTTTTGCCTTTCAACATAGTTTAAATATGTTTAAATGTTTATAATGTCATTAAAATTTACATCATTGTGTTCAGGAAGGTCCATAGAATAATGTTGCGCAAGGAAAGTTTGAAAAATGTTCGTAATTAAGGTGCAATAAAATATTCAAAGTTGAAAATTTCAGTTTTTTTTTCAAAATGAACTTTTTCAACGACTGTGGGTGATGGAGAAAAATGAATTGTATATTCGAATTTAACATAAGAAATAATATTAAGATCCCTCATTAAACATTCTGTGATAAAACTCATGTTGACCAGTGTTATTAGGCAAATCGACGATAACAAAAGTATACATTACACGTTCAATCTACTCTAGAAAGTAGTAGTTTGAAATTATCTCGTCTCCTACAAAATACGATTTTTTAGTAGGAATATTTTAATATTTAAATGAGACAATAATTATTTTTGTTATATTCTCATATTAGGAAAGTATTGTGAGTTTCATCAAATGTATCGCATTGGGGAGTTTAAAGAAGCAGCAAGCTTATTAGTATCACTTTTAGTTTCAAATTTAACTCCAAAATAGTAAGTAAAATATAAATACTAATACGTTTGACTTCCATAAAAAAAAAAATGTTTTATGCAAAATTTTTATTTCAGCTTTTGGTCAATTCTTCTATCTGATGCTATTCCGTTATTAGAAGCCGAAGATATAACCCTTTCTTCCAATGATTGTTATGAATTGTTACGTTGTGTAGAAGCTCATGGAGATGATCCAAAATTTCAAGGCAAAGTTGAAATCCTTCGACTAGCCGTTGCTAGAAATTTAGCGCGTGCGTTGAGTCTTGAAGGTTGCCAGTAGAACATTAGAAAGTTTACTGGAATGTATTATGTATAAGTTTTCTAATTTTGTAATTAAACAAATTTCCATTTCTATATATCAATGTATTCTTATTGAATATTATATACCACATCATAAGTCTTTGTTTATAATGTTGACATCAAAATTTGTTTGAGTATACTATATCATGACTTGTTATTTATATAAAATATTATAGATATTGTAAATATATAAAAACAACGTTTTTTATAAGATAATTATTCTTAATATAAGAGTAATTTCGTATCAGAATGGTGTAAATGTAAGTATATTTGTCCTGTTTTCAAATTACATCTATTTTCATATTATTACCTGGATGATGTGAAAAATTAATAATAAACGATTTATCCAAATAATATCATTGCAGAAATTAAACAAATTTTCACTTTCAAATCAATAATTCTATTGAAAAATTTCTCAATCAACATAGATTTGATATTCCAACAAAAGTGTTTTCTTATTTATAAATAAGTAGTGTTTATTCATAAGTGGAGCCAAATTCGAACAATATATATTACATAAATTTTTGTTATAAATTATTTATTAATTTAGATTTATAATTAAAACATGAAAAGATACAACTTTGATATTCTTTCAATCAACAAGAAATCAAATTATTATTGATTTTATTATGTTTGATTAGTTAATTTTATTAAATGAAAAGTAGTATTTTAGTATCAATTTTATAAATATATATAATATATTTAATGTGTATATAATGTGTATAAATATTAAACAAATATTCTTACTGAAGTTTTGCAGTGAACATTAAATATATTCTTATTGTAAGTAACAAAACTGATTCACTATAGTGGATGTACATTGCATATAATAAAATCAATTAATAAATGGAAAAGTCATCAATGGTATTACATAATACAGAGAGTAATACCACCGACGAGTTGTCTCTCGTAACACTGTTTATTTTAATCGATCCAATGTTACTGATGCATAGAATTGTATCTAAAGGTGTGTACAGTCGATAAAAAGATCTGACAAAATGGCGATCACCAAGTGTTGTGTTTAGTACTGTTCTTACATTTCATCTTAAAAATTATTGTGACTATCGTGATACTCTTCTGTTAATATACGAAAAACAGTTAAAAGATATATAAAAAGTTTCATGATAAGTGTGAGTTACAAACAAAATCATGATTTTTATGATAATTATTTATCTATACTTCAATTTATATACGTTTTGACATATACACCAATTTCATACATATATGAATACATATTTAATTTAGAAAATGAAATATGGTATTACATAGTATACTAATGAAAGAAGTGATAGTACTTTTATTATTATTAAAATATTTATAATTTTTAAATAATTTAGACACTAAATTTGAAATATGAGATACTTTTTAAATAAATATACAAGTAATTAACATTTCTCAAATGTTTATAAACAATTTTAAATATCTAACTTCCACTTTAGATACAGTGGACATACTTAAATTCATGAATAATTATAATATTCATAATATAATTTGCAATGAACATCAAGTGTTCAATTTTAATCAAATTCAAATAAAAAGATATGCAAAACATCATAAGAGAAGAATATACAAACTATGTGAATGTGTAATTGGAAGTCATAATAATTTATAGATACAACTGGTAAGCATAAACATTCATTAACATTCTTACGGTAAAAAAGCATGGACATTTTTGTTATAATAAACAAAACCAAAATATGGTACTATTGTGCAAGAAATAAAAAATTGAATTGTCTAACTAGAAAATCTTTTTAGAAGTTATTTATAATTATGTTTCTTTCTAAAATTTACTTAAATAAATAAACAATGTAACATTATTATTATGAAAGAATATGACATTTTGATAGTTACTATTATATGTAACTGGCTAGTTTATAAACAAAACTATATTTTCAACTTTTTTAGTTCTCACTATGGAGGATTATACTCCAATCGATGAAGATTTTCCTGGTCGATTGTTACATCAAGCTGCTTTATGGGACAATGCAGAATTATTAGAAGATCTTCTACGAGGAGAACATGCACAATATATAAACAGCCAAGATTCATGGGGTAGAACACCATTACATACCGCAGCTATTACAGAAAATTCAAGATGTTTGGATGTATTACTGTCTGCTGGTGCTAATCCAAATATACCGTGTGGTCCAAGGGGCCATTACCGAACACCGTTACACATATGTGCAGAACATGGTCATAGTTCGAATATAAAAAAGCTTTTAGAATTCGATGCAGATTTAATGATTACAGACAATAATGGTGATAAACCAATAGATATAGTTGAAAAAAATAAACAGGACGCCTGCAAAAATTTACTTAATTCAGCAGCAGAGAAATATGAATTAGCAAAGTTAGCAACACATGCTTCTTTGCGCGCGACTTGTATTCAAGGAGATACTATAGCAGCTAGGAATATTATTCAGGGACTCACTTCTGACATTGAATACATCATTAACATGGCACCAAATGGTGCAAATACGTTGCTCTTTATAGCCTGTGAAATGGGTCACAAAGATATAGTACGTTTGCTTCTAGATCATGGTGCAGATTGCAGAACACATTCTGTCACCAAGTATTGTCCACTTTATATAGCCTGTTATAATGGCAAGGTAGAAATTGTAGAATTGCTTCTGCGACACTTTCCTAAACAGGTACAATCTTTAACAGTGGAAAAATGGTTACCAATTCATGCAGCAGCTATAAATGGTCATTACACAGTCATTGATTTGCTATTAAAATTTGAATATCCACACAATATGTATCAATGCTACAAAGATTCTTCTGGAGAATTTGAATATGAAATGCCATTTGATATTAATACTCAAGATGTTACAGGACAGAATGTTCTCTACATATCTAGCATGCTTGGAAATATTAAGATCATAGAATTATTATTAAACTATAAAGTAAAAGCAAGAAAAATTAAAGAAGAAGATATGGGAGTTACTCAGCCACTTCCTACATCGAAAAGAAAAATTTCAAGTGGAATTCAAAGATTAATGTCTAGTTTAAATTTTAGAAGTAAAGCATTTGATAAAAAAGACGACAATATGATGTGTCCATTAAATTTGGATTTGTACTGCAACAATGGTAGTGAAACGGCTTTACACACTGCCGTGAAAAGTAAACACACAGACGTTGTTACTGCTTTATTATTAGCAGGTGCCGACCCTAATTTACCCTTAAAAGTTCCTTGTGATCAAAATGATCCAGAAAGTAATTTCTCAAGTGCACTGATTATAGCTTGTCAACAGCGTGACATAAGAATTGCAGACCTTTTATTGAAACATGGTGCTGTGGATAATACGTGCAAAGCGATCAAAATCGCTGCACAAAATCGAGATGAACCGCTGACAGCAAAGCTTTTATCTATAAAAGCTTACCCAGACTCTGAATATAAAATTAACAAAAAAGCCATGACTGAATGTACTCAAACTTCTCACTTTTCAGCGTTATCTTCTTTTGGAAACGTTACATATTCGACGTTATTTCCAAATACACCGACAATGATAAATTGGCATAATCAACAATGTCATCTCTCACAAATAAGGTCTCAATGGTTAATTGATGCAGTGCTGCACGTGAACAAGAAACTAAGTGCTAAAAATAACGACTTGGTCTTGTATGCTATCACAAGAATAGACATTTCTCATAATTCTATTACTTCTGTACCATCTATAATATTTTATTTGCAAAGTCTCCGATACCTCAATATGGCTCAAAACAAAATAGATACTCTAACTGCTGACCCAAAAAGTCAGAAGGACAAATTATGTCCTGCTTTAGAAGAACTTTATCTTCAGGACAATCGATTAGAACAGTTACCTGAATTTATAATGAATTTACCTGTTTTAGAAATTATGGATGTTTCAAATAATAAACTTCAATGTCTTCCAGAAAATTTATGGCGGGCACCAAAATTAAAAGAATTGAATGCATCATTTAATTTATTAAAAGATTTGCCCAGTCAAATATCACAAAATATTTTACGAAAATCACAACGTGAAGATGTTTTAAATCATAGTCCAAGTAATCGCAGCTTAGCATCTCAATTTGGTATATCACGCGAAGATTCATTGGAATTTGAATCTTTCACGAAAATAGCAAATGCACAAATTATCGAAATGAATCGTCCACACGTTTGGACTCGGTCGGTTCAAGTTTCAGAAAAAATTTCAGACGACAACGAAAATGGAGCAAGATCGGTATTGTCATCTTTAAATTTAGCGCACAATTTGTTTAATAGCGTCCCGGTAGCATTACCATGCTTAGCTGTTAATTTGGTAAGATTGAACATGGCTTACAATTCTCTAAGATCTATGAGTCACATAACGTCTTATCCTGCGAGTTTAAAACAATTAGACTTATCTAATAATCAAATTTCTCGATGGCCTAGCTTACCACAAGTAGATAGTGCTGATGCAATGGAACAAGCAAATACTGCATGTTACTGTCCTACTACAAATGTACAATCTCCAGTAGTGCCAGGTACTAATCGACAAACAACATCTTTACGCGATGTAGTTTTAATGTCAGTTTGTACACATAGGCGTCACTTGAGATTGGAAAATTTGAGAACATTAATTCTTGCTAACAATTTGTTAAATAGAATTCAATTAACTTCAATCGATGATGGAGAAATGCCAGCTCTAGAGGAAGAGATTGTAGACAAAGATATGAAAATGACTTATTCCGGTTCAAAATTGTATCTACTGTTCCCTAATGTTAGTATGTTAGATGTTAGTAATAATAAGTTAAAAGAAATACCACAGAATATTTATGAGCTTAACAATCTCTCTGTTTTAAATATAAGTGGTAATCCAGATATTGTTGAATTACCACCACAAATGGGATTACTGTCTCGTTTATGGAATTTAAATACTCAAGGTTGTAAATTACAAGACCCTTTAAAAACAATGATTGAATCCAAAAAATACAAAACAATGGATGTTATTGGTTACTTGAAATCAATTTTAGAAGATGCTAAACCATATGCTCGTATGAAGTTAATGATTGTGGGAATACAAGGTATTGGAAAAACAAGTTTGTTAGAACAACTGAGACAGGAAGGTGAAGTTCCAAATAAAAAAAAGTCTTCTGAACACTGGGCAAAAAGAATGGGTAATAAAAATATCAATGCAAAGACTGCAAGAGGAACAACAATATCTACTGTTGGTGTTGACATTGGAGATTGGATTTATGAGAAAAAAATGAGAGGTCAGTCATCCCATGGACCTGTTTACTTCAGGACCTGGGATTTTGGTGGGCAAAGAGAATATTATGCAACACATCAGTATTTTCTGTCTAAGCGTAGCTTGTACTTGGTTGTATGGAGAATCACAGATGGTTTTAAGGGTGTTTCAGAAATATTTCAGTGGTTGGTAAATATTCAAAGCAGAGCACCTAATACACCAGTAATTATTGTTGGCACTCATTATGACATATCAAATGAACACAGTGAAGCATTACAACAATATATTCGTGATAAATTTATAAATGTTGTTGATGCTGAAAAATGTGGTTTACCTAAGGTTATGGAAACTATAGAAGTGAGCTGTAAAACAAGACACAACATAAAAATGTTGTGTAATTTGATTTATGATGTTGTTTTCAGTTTAAGATCACCTGGCAGCAAAGAGTTATTACTTGAGCAAAAAGTTCCTTCCAGCTACCTCGCCTTGGAAGATGTTGTGATACAACTTGCATACGATAGAAAATTATCAGGCGCAGATCCAGTTTTAAAGGCTGATCAATACTATACAGCAGTAAATAATGAATTACAAAAACTGCATCGATCATTCAGAGATCCCGCAGAACTACATCAAGCAACGCTTTTTCTCCATGAAAATGGGATTATTTTGCACTACGATGATGCTACCTTGAAAGATTTATACTTTCTTGATCCTCAATGGCTTTGCGATATGCTAGCGCATGTAGTTACTATACGCGAAATTAATCCATTTGCTAGATCTGGCGTAATGAAATTAGATGATATACAGCACGTTTTTAAATCTTCAACAATATCATCCATAGACACACAAGGATATATTGTTAATCTGTTAAATAAGTTTGAAGTTGCATTAACTTGGGACTATCGCACTTTATTAATTCCTTCTTTACTGCCAACTGAAGAAGATCTTTTACGAAATAATCAAGTAATTAAAATACCAGTGAAAACACGTGGTTGGCACGTACGTTCTAAGAAAATGACGTCTCCTATGACAGTATTTCAACATTCCTCTGGAGATAAACCAAACGCTGAATGTGTACTAACATCTAGGTCACAACCCGATTGCTCCGTCACGCGACTTCTTCTGATGTCTTACTTTCCAAGTGGTTTTTGGTCAAGACTCATAACTAGAATATTAGCTGATGATGCTATTGTTGAAATTGTAATGTCATTTTTGGCACCATTTAAAGATTTTGTTGATGATAATATTTTTATAAGTTTATTAGACAGGCCAGCAGAATGGGTACTTTGGCAAACAGGAATAGAATTAAGATACGCTAATATTACTTTACTACGTCTCAAAGAAGTCAATTACAATTTAAAAAATGTACCATACGATTATAGACAATTTAAATTTAAATTAAAACAAGATGGTATATGGTGCACAGTAGATTTAAAAAATTCAGCTATTTTAGAAATTTGGTTTCCAATTGATACATTAGTAATTAAGCAGCCGATAATGTCTGATACTGATGAAGCTGATGATGAACCGATGGGATATCAGGCAATTGTAGTTGAACCTCGTCCGGAAAGTATGCCACAACTACTAGCTCTAATAGTCGACCATATTGATATTTTATTAGAAGATTGGTATCCTACATTAGGTACACGTTTCGTTCATACATCTGAGGGTAAATTATTAGTTACCCGTTTAATACCTTGTCCTCGATGCTTATTAAATAATGGAGAAAATGAAAATGACATCACCGATAATGATCGGTTAGCAGAAGATATTCAACGGTATTACGTAAATAAAGAAAGACAAAGTCAAGATAGTTACAAATCTGATGGTGATAGTGGAGTAGGCTATGATAGCTTAACATCAAGCAGAATGCCATCTTTAGAAGGTCACCCAGATGTGGCTAAACAAAATGTCCAATTTGAAGGTATATTAGCATATTCTTGGATGGTAGAAGAATGTATTCTATCTGCTTATAGCAATAAACCAATTAGTTGCCCTAAACACTCTGACATACCATTATCACACGTAGCTCCAGATATTATTTTTATGGATTTGGGACTGAAACACTTAATAAAATCAGAAGACATTAAACTAGGAAAACTGTTAGGTCGTGGTGCATTTGGTTTTGTTTTTAAAGGAGTTTGTCGCTTACCTGGAACTTATCAGAAGACTGATGTTGCCATCAAAATGTTACAACCAGTTCCACCAGGACCAAATTCGAAACAATCTGCTGTATTAGCTTATAAAGCTGCACAAAGTAAATGGGATCGTGATCCTTTACAATATGCTTGTAAAGCTTACTGTACTGCTAGGCAGGAATTAAATATTTTATTAACACTCAGGCACATGAATATTGTACCATTAATTGGTATAGTAGTTAGTCCTCTTGCACTGGTGTTAGATTTAGCACCAGAAGGTGCGTTGGATAATGTACTAAAAAACTATAGACGTTCAGGTGCTAAATTAGATCCATATACATTACAGGCCATAATTCTTCAAGTAGCAAAAGCTGTAGAATATCTTCATCAACAACATGTAATTTATAGAGATTTAAAATCAGAAAATGTTTTAGTTTGGCAAATGCCTCTACCCTTTCAAGACCATCCTGAACATCCTGTGCATGTTAAAGTAGCTGATTACGGTATATCCAGATTAACCTTACCAACTGGTGCTAAAGGATTTGGTGGAACTGAGGGATTTATGGCACCTGAAATTATCAAGTATAATGGTGAAGAAGAGTATACTGAAAAAGTTGATTCTTTTTCATTTGGAATGTTTATATATGAATTGATTACTCTAAGACAACCATTTGAAGGCCACGAAGCAGTTAAAGAATGCATTTTAGAAGGTGGAAGACCACCATTGACGTATAGAGAAACATTTCATCCTTGCTATGCTCTTGACTTAATGGTTATATGTTGGGCTCAAAATCCAAAAGATCGTCCAACTGCTAGTCAAATAGTTTCTATTGCATCTGCACCTGAATTTACACATCTTATAGATGTTATAATGTTAACAGAAAGAACTCAAGTAACAGCTATTACCATGACAAATAGAACTATAGAAGAAAATATGAATGGTGATGAAATTTGGTTTGGACACAATAACGGCGAAGTAGATATGTTATTGGGTACACAAAAGGGTTGGTTACAACATGTTAGAATTGAAACTCCTATAATACCATATGCAATGTGCGGAGTAGATGGATATATTTGGATTGGCGATAATGCAGGTCAAGTGCATGTTTATTTAGGCAGTAATTTCGGCTGTGTTGCTAGCTATAATCTGGAACCTGATCACAGTAGAGAATCTAAAGTAGTAGGTTTAATTTATTTAGAACAAATGAAACAGTTCGTGGTTGCATTGCATAGTGGAAGAATATTTTTATTAACAAACTCTTTCACTCAAATGAAAAAAATGGAAGTTGTCACTGACACACAAGACAATATAAAGACATATTCTTTGGCAGCTGTTTATAAAAAGAAACGTATACTGGAATTATGGGTTGGACAAAGTTTTGGTAGAATATCAATCTATATATTAAAAGATAACAGTTTAATAGATACAATACAGCTTTTTCATGTTACTGAAGATGCAGCCATCAAAAAGTTATTTGCTACATATTTATTGAGTGCTGAGAATTCTATTCTATCATACACGTATCCTGGATGTATTGTTTATCAATGGGATGTGGATACTAGGCAAATAATAAATAAGTTAGATATGTCTAAATTAGTACCTTGTTCGGAAAGTCTCAAGTCCATTTCTATAGAGGAGAATCTATCAACGGAAAAGTGCCAAGTAACAACATTTGAAACCTGTAGAAACCAATTGTATATTGGTACAACTTGGGGTTGTATAGTTGTAGCTGAATGTAACTCTCTTAGACCAATTACTGTCTTCAGACCTTTTGAGGGTAAAGTTTGCCAAATAATATCATTCAAATCAGCAGACGAAAAGAAATTGGTATTAGCAACAGTTGGCCAAGGTTACAGAAGTCTAATTTCTAGATATACAGATTTCCCAACTGATTCGTTAGATGAAGAAGATCTTAGGCATAGTATGTATGCTCTATTATGGAGGTCCGAACATTGGTCAGCTGCATAATTGTATCTAGTTAAAAACATAAAAGTGCAAAAAATAACAGTGATATAACTAATTCACAGTTCTATACGTCCATGATATTTAGTCCATAATTTAAGCTTTCTACCTTTTGTATATAAGATCTCTTGCACTGAAGCTGAAAATTTGTATTCTTCAATCTGACTAAGCTATATGGTGCTTAATTGAAATATTTTCTGCAAAATTGTTATTTATAAGCCAGATGTAGTTTAAGCAGGATATTTTTATTATTGTGTGATGCAATATAAGATAGTTTTGTAACTTTACTATTATTTTTGTAAATATTTAAATTTGCCAAGAAATGATGAATTCATTTAATATAAAAAATAGAAAATGAATTCATTAACCTTGCAATGCATTTGAAACATTTATTTGATGATCTCAAATATATCATTAAACATTATGTATATTTAAGATATTTTAATGTACGTGCTTTTACATAATACAAAATTAAATTACAAGTACAATTAATGTAGGAAGTCTGTAACATATTTGTACAAGTAATATTAAAAGTCCTTTTAATGCAGAATTAACAAATGATCTGAATATAATGATAATTGTAAACCAGTTTTATTATGAAAAAATGATTAAATTTGTGTGAAATGAAATTTTAATGTAAGTATAAAAATGTGAAAGTACATTTTTTAATATCATTCTTGTGTGAGTATGTGAAATGTATTTGTGAAGTATGAGTGTAACATTATCAAGGAATATGGTTAACTGGTAGTTCTTCCACAGTTTCAATGTTATGTTTAAGAATTAGGTCTTGACCTCGATATAGAAAATATCCTTTAAATAATTCTTCTCTTAACATATAAGGAAACCAATATTCATCATCCGGCCACATTTGTTTAAATGGAATATCTTTTATATTATACCATTTTGGTCGCATTTCTAAACAAAAAGAAATATCTAAATGTAAGTAGAATATATTTATTACCAATTTAAGTAGATAAGCAATATTTTTTAACTAAACATCTGGTGTTAAATACTTTTTTTTAATTTTCTTACTTTATTAAAATATTTTCAATTTTTTGACTGATCTAAATAATTTAAAAAATTCAAGCACTCATATGTACTTTTAGATGTATAATTAAATAATTATAACAAAAAATAAAATTGGATATAATATATATTATTAATATTAAGAATTGATACTTCTATAGTGATGTAACATTTTGTTTAATTGGATTCTCAATATGTAGAAATTAAATACCTTCGGATTCTGTTATTTCTCCAGAATATTGATATGTCTCAAAGACATGAACTTCCAATAATGTATTGTTTCCTTCAAACTCAAATTCTAAAATACCAATTTTTCTTAAATCCTCTGCAGATAAACCACATTCTTCTTTTAACTCACTGTAAAATTGTAAAGGAAGAACTTGAAATACTAGATTTCTTGTATATTATATTATTACTGCACATGTATTACTTTTAGTTCAACAATTTTTATTGTTATTCTCATTATTTAAATCTAATGATTTAATGTAAACTATACATACATCCAAGAATATTCATAAAAAATAATAAATTTACTAATTTATATCACATTGTTCCTGTACTTGTATAATTACATTATTAAATATACTTTGAAAAGCTCACGTATACAAATTTTATTGTAATTAAGAATTTTTAATAAAAATGAAAATAATAAATAGTTCCAAAATTAATAAATTTATACCTAATTCGAAACTTTGAAACAATTTCTATCATTCATGTCACATGTTATACGAATGTAGCATAGTTTTATTAAAATTTTGTTATCACTTAATGTGATCTTTACAAAAAATAATATATTGTTGAATACTAAGGGTTCAATTAACGCTAAAATGATTATGATTTAAAATGGATTATAATTTTAATTAAATATCAAATCAAAATCATATGTGCGTAACATAGAATGCACGCAACTATTAATCTCAAATTACTTAAAATAATTTACCGAAGAGCTCCTTGTAGAATTGTTTCTCCAGATTCCACTTTACCACCAAAACCGTTCCATTTATCTTTTCCAAATCCTCGCTTTTTTAAACCTAACAAAATATTTGTTGCTTTCCTAACAAACACCAATGAGAAAATTTTCCTCATGGACATTGTAGCTTCGCTTATTCAATTTTCGTGGAAAATGAATCTGTATTACGTTTGAAAAATAACTGTATAGAATTTAGTGTTGGACAGTATATCATAAAGAATATTTTTTTTCTTATAATCGATAACTGTTAATTATTTTTTAGATATATTATGCTATAACCGTAAGGGATACTAATTTTCGTATACAAATCTGTAATATTCTTTTAAAGGTTATGACAGGTAAGAATATTTCTTGAATATTCACCCTGTAATGTATCGTGAATAAAAATTAGGTACAGAGAATAAAAAGTTAAAATCTTTTTATAGGCTTATTTTTAAGAAATATTCTGAGCTTTATATTCCCCATACATTACTGTAAATATGTTGATATATTTTAAAATGTCATTCTAACTAGTGATACCATTTTTATTTGTAGTAACGGTAAAAATGATAAAAAAAATATTATATATAAAATAACAAAGAACTTTTGATTTTATTAACAAGTTGCACATTAATAAACAAATAAATAACATGCGTAAGTGCTGTACCGTATATTATACTGATGTATTGTATTTTATTGCAAGAGGCATATAAATATGTATTTACGTACTCATTATTATTTGCAGAAATTAAATACACATACACATATAATAGATTATGTACAACACTTACGTTTTAACAAAATTGTTTTTATTTAAAGTGCATTGCATTTAGAGGGTTAATAATGTTATTATAGCAGTTACGTTTATGAATTCATGATCAGAAATACATAATACATGTGAAATTATTATTTACATTGCTACATTATCTACTGATACCAGTTTTAAATATCTTCTTAGCATGCGAATGATTAATGAAAATAAAGTCATTTGAAGTGAAAGTATAAAATGGATAATATGTCTTGTGTAACATGAAAAATAGGTCATTAACTTATATTAATTTTGTTTCCCAAAATGAACTAATTGATATATATTAAATACATACATAATAATATGATTTTTTAAGATTCAGGTTTAGTATCACTGCCATATTTATGCAAAACTTTTTCCAATCTTGGATTGTCATCTTTAAATAATGAAACATATTCTTTCAAAGTCTTTTGATATGCAACAGTTTTTGATGAATCACCCTGTAATTACATAAATAATATGATAAATGTAACATAGAACATTATATTGATATATTTTACTATAAATTACCTGCAAATACTTTGCATATAATTTAAGGAATAATTCAGTATGAGATTCTTCTTTTGTTTCTAAATTTATTGCAGGTAAAAGGGATATATCTTTATGAAATTGCCTACAAAATAGTAAAAATATATTTTCAGCCATTCATTGATTATTTATATAAATTCATTGTTTAATTGCACTTACGCTCTTATAATATCTTCTTCATAAAAAATTTGTTTTAATGGTTTTTGTGATGCAGGTCTGTCATAACGAGGTTCATACTTTGGAGGAAAAGCTTTATATATATCGTACCATAATGGTTTATTAATTGGTTTTATTGCTCCACTTTCAATTAACGCTGTTACTCTAAAATTGATACAAAAACAAAGTACGTATATGATATTGAAAATACATTTACATTAAGAAAATAACCTATTTCATTACAATTTCATAAATTTAGATAAGATAAATATATTTCTAACCCGTATAATATATTATCACTACATTTCTTTCATTTATACTATTTTCTAATTAATTGTGCAATGACAAAAATCATCGATCATAATAAAAAATTATAATAATTATAGAACGGTTTATAACCTATTTCAAACTAAATCTGTAAAAAATGTTAAATTTAATATGTATTATACCTTGAAAAAATTGTTCCAATTCTATCTAATCTACTTTGCGCCATGATTTACAAGTTATGAATGTTAAAATAAATTTTAAAATAGGTGTAATTAAGCAGGTAAGATATACATTTATTTTTTTAAACTTAGATTAAGGATCTCGAATTAGAAACTCGTAAGCTCTATTTTCTCCTTATGGTGAGTTAACCTCTTCGCTTTGTTCACGATAAGAGCCCCCTGACGGTACAGGAGCAAGAGGGGTCTTTCGCTAGGGATTTTGTTTATGGTTTTGATTACTCATGTCAAGGGTGTCTAAATCGCTGCTTGCGAGCACTCTAGTAACATTTCCCTCACGAAAAGTTACCCTTTCCATACTACGTACTTTTACCTATTACATTAAACACTACATTGAATTGTGCACATACTCAGACCCGAGTAGCTTCTACAGAAGTAGTGTTACTCTCTCTCACGTGTTACCATGGGGTTCTGCGGTAGTTGCGGAGGTTGTTGGAGGATGCTCGCCGATGAGGAATGGGGTAGTGGAAGGGGCAAGCGTTTGGTTGTTCTGCCTTCACTAGTAACTCTTTACATAGATATTGAAAGTTTTGAAATTGAAGTTTCACCTCTATAAAACTCTATTGTGATTTGTGTCAATGGTTACTCACGTTCCTGATCTCGAGTAATAAGCATGTGACTTAACCTATATCAAAATTTAACATTAATTATTTCCTTGTAGTAATATGCTGTTATGATGTGTCATGAAGTGATATAGTTGTTACAATTATTATAATATTAATTCTAATAATAATTTTAAAATTCAAGAAATTGTCATACTAATTATATTAATAAATATATTGTTTAAGATTAACAGAATTAACAATTAAAAAAGAAATTATGTTAGAAGTAAATGATAATCAAATTACTGCAATAGGTTGTATTTTGAATGATAAAAGTCGACCTTTGAAGGAAAGATTTCGTGCATTATTTACTTTAAAAAATGTTGGAGGTGCTAAAGCCATTGAACAAATCAGTGCTTGTTTTGAAGATGATTCTGCTTTACTAAAACATGAACTTGCATATTGTCTTGGTCAAATGCAAGATCCTCTTGCTATACCAATTCTTATAAATGTGTTGAAAGATGTTACACAAGAACCAATGGTTCGTCATGAAGCAGGTATATTATATTTATTTTTATTTTTGTTTTTATGTTACAATTTTATACTTTCAACCTATTTAATATTGAAATATTTTTATTTAATCATTATAGGTGAAGCTTTAGGTGCAATTGGAGATCCCAGTGTCATACCCATCTTAGAAGAATACAGCAAAGACTGTGTACCAGAAGTAGCAGAAACTTGTCAGTTGGCAGTATGCCGATTGCAATGGTTACAGTCAAGTAATATTTCAACAAATTCTAAAAAGAGTCCTTATATGTCAGTGGATCCAGCTCCTCCAATAGAGATTTGTGATGTCGATGTATTAAAAGATATTCTTCTTAATGAAAATCTTCTTTTATTTGAAAGATATCGGGCTATGTTTTCATTAAGAAATATATGCACACCGGAAAGTATTCTTGCTCTAAGTGAAGGTAAGAATAATTTCTGATTTTCTTAATTATGAATAATTATTGCATTGAAAGTTTTTGTATCTTCTATTAATAGGTTTAAAAACTGGTAGTGCTTTGTTCAAACATGAGATAGCCTTTGTTCTTGGACAATTACAGGAGGAAATTACTATACCTTATTTGCAAGCTTCCTTAGAAAATGTTAATGAAAATGAAATGGTGCGGCATGAATGTGCTGAAGCATTAGGCTCAATTGCAACTCCAATTTGCTTTAATATTTTAAATAAATATTTGAATGATAGCAAGAGGGTTGTCCGTGAAAGTTGTATAATTGCATTAGACATGTGCGAATATGAAAATAGTTCTGAATTTCAGTATGCAGATACATTGGGAAAAGTTACTGCTTAAATGTGTATTTTTATATGTTTAGGAAATAAGTGAAAAATCTGTATGATGAGTGCTTTGAATGTGAAATGAAACAAATGTTATAGTATCTATTACAAATAATATGCAGTGATTTACACTAATATTTGGACATTGTATTGTCTACAAAATTATTATTGTATATGTTT